TACACATTAGATATTTTTCTGAAGTAACAGTGAGGTTAGACACAGGGTATTAAGGAATGATAATAAATCAGTTGATGAGGTCATGAATCTTTATCGACTGAGATGATTGGGCCACGTGTTACATATGCCTGAACACTAATTACCACGACGCGCAATGCTGACTAGTGTTGGCAATGGTTGGAAGAAAAATAGGGATGACCATAATAAAACGTGGCGTCAGTCCTTGAGGTCACTAACTTTTAGTCTGAACCATGTTGGTAGATGGAACTACTTGGTTGGGGTACATGTGACTATCGTAACCAACGGTTAGAGACTGTGGGTGACATGGCTCGTAATCGATCACAATGGCACAGGTGTATACACTCTTTATCTTCCTTTAAACCTTGAGATTAAAATTGCTTCATAACTTTCTTCCTTCCTATACTATATCCTTATATACAACCTATCTTTTATATATTACCACCATTAAATTAACTACTTCTATGAATTCGGTGTTGATCTTGTTGTGCTAACGAGGTATGGCAACTTGGACCGATGCATATATGTGTCTGGTCCTACGTTGTAGCTGACTAACTGACTGATTAAAGTTTGTTTATCATTGTTGAATTATATTTACTTAATCATTTTAGTAAATAACATTTCATTTCAATAAATTAAAAATGACCCCTCATTACAATATAACAAATTTGCATACAATGAAATTTCACTTATTTATTTATTTGTAAAAACATTCATTCCCAGAATTAATAACAATAACAATAATTATCATTATTATTTCAATAGTCATATTCATTGTAGATTTTTATTTAATGGTAAAAATAATAATTATTATTATGATAGCCTCAAAGATATAACGAAGTATCTCAGTTACTATCTCTTTTTTTTGTAAAATCCCTTGTTTAGATTAAATGTATAAAAAAAATTATCAGAAAAAAAACTCTCCCTTTCTCTCTCTTACACACACACACACACACACGAACACAGCTCGATAATAATCCACAAGTGATTTGCTTCTTAAAGAGTGAATCAATCAATGAACCAGAGAGTAGTAAACAGTAGCTACACGAAGAAGTTAATGAATAAACTAGAGTGAATTCTTTTGTTTAGTAAAAAAAAAATAATAAATTGCATAATAATACAAACCAATATAGTTGATTGAATTAAACAAATCATGTAATAGTAATAATAATAATAATATCAGTAAGTAGGTTTATCTCTGTTTGTTGAAAATAATATAAAAAGATAATTGAAGATAATGAAAACAGACCACCTCAACGCATCTTTCTCCCACCAAAAAGAAAATACTTAATCATATATGGATATGATGAAAGAAACGTCTAAGTGGATTGTATTACACAAGTTGTATATTATTTCCATGTAATTAAAACTGATTGATTAGCAGACTGTGCACAAAGTTTATTAAAGGTGGAGGGGGGGAATTAACATAATCTATTTATTTATTATTAACATAAGTGGATTTTATTGGCCACAAGTTATTAGCAAATGAACAAGAATAATGAACTGCTTTTTAACAAGATAATTAAGAAAGTCAAGTCAAGAATATCAGTTAAACCATTTAGTCCTTTTAAAAAATACATTTTTTTAATTTCTAAAAATGTGGTCAGCTATTGAGAAGAGTTTATTACAGAAAAACAAAAAAAGAAAAAAATACAAGCAATAACAATGGAAAATAAACTTCCCGACAAAAAACAGGGCACACGATTAGTAGTATTCTCTTTCTTTTTTTTAAAAAAAAAAATAGTAGTTATCAGAAAAAAGAACGAATTTTTCGTTCCAGTTTAGTAAAAAATAAAGAAAAGAACATAGACATACACATGCGAACACATACACATACAAAGAAGCAGATCAGCATTACTTTCATCTTCAGCACAGCAACTGTGTATGGTCTAAACAGATGATGATTTGAGTGAATAGGGATAAACTATCTGGATACATATCATTTTGAAAAGAATAACATGTTAGTGTGTACATCGTCCGCCTACCTCATATTGCTTTGTTTCTCTCTTTTCTTGAGGAGATCAACAATCCAATGAATTTTACATAGGTAATTCATCTTACACTCACTATTTCTTTCTATGATCCTGTCGTTTGTTTTCTTTGTGGAGTTGATTTTCTTTACTCTTATTGTCTTTTTTTACCTATCGCCTGTAATTATGGAGTTTTTCGTTTGTATGCCTCTGAGTGTATAAATATCATTAAATATTTAACCATTTAAATAAGATTTCATAAACAATATGTTCCACAAATTTAATCATCTAATTACATTCTTTAAATAGGAACAAAGTCAATTCACAACTGGAAATAGTTGTCTAAAGTAAAAAGAAATTATCACTTATAGTAATAATAATTAAACAACTACAAATCAATATATCATAAGTATAAATATGAAAGCGACAAAGTAACAAATATCCAATATGAAGGGATTATAATTACATTGGTAATTGAAACAAGATAGGGCGGGGGGATTAAACTGAAGTATAACTGGGGCAAGGGAAAGGATATGGTGCATGTTAATAGTGAAAGAGAGAAAAATACCCAGAGGGAAAATGTATAGACTGAAAAGTCATCTAATCTTAGGTTTTTTATCCCTTAAAAAGAAAAACAAAACAACCTCAACAACAACGACAATGTACGCATAAAAAAATCTCATTTATCCTATAAATAAAATTGGATGAAAAAATCCTGCTAATTCCGGTCCAGTCGGTGCATGCGTATTAGTAAGAGAAGACGTAACGGTAATACGTGAAGGTGAGAAACGATTAAGATTTTGTGTAGTAGTAGTGGTAGTAATGGTAGTAGTAGCGGTAGTGTTGTTTGATGTTGATGAGGAAAACGATGTGGAAACAGGCCAACTAGCTGTTGTGACTAGAAAGCGATTGAAATGTGAAGGTGATGAAGTACTACTACTGGTAGTAGCAGCAGTAGTAGTGGTACCAGTCATTGTAGTAGTGCTCTGATTATCAATTAGTTGTGACTGATGTCGTTGATGGATTAAATTTTGTAAACTTGTTGGTCTTGTACGAGAAGTTGATAATGATGATCTCTGTACGTCGGAACTTCGAGTAATCGGATTATTATTTCGTCCAGTTAATGAAATTAAAGCCGATGGCGGAACATATAAAGAACTGGATATAATTGAAGTACTAGCAGGACGAAGTAGATTTGTAGAACCATTGAATTCATTTAAACTTAAAGCATATGTTTGAACATCAGTTGTTATATGCCGTGGTTCATCATCAATATCATCACGATGCATGATACCGATTGCTATACTACGATTTGGTGTAGTTGGTGTATCACGTGAAGCAGGTGTTATTGTAGATTCATGGATTGGTGTATGATTAGTTCTAGATGTAAGACAAATATCATCAGCAGTAGTCCTGGTAGTAGCATTTCTATTTTGTAGAGGATCAACAGATAATCCACTAACATTTGATTGACCAGATTTGAAACGATAAAAACCAAAGGAACCATTGTTAGTTGTTTTACACGATGAACCTTCATCGGTTAAAACATGTTCCAAATATGTTAAAGCTATATCCAAAACCGGACGGCAAGGTTGTTTTAAATGCACTAGAGAAAGTAAAATTTGACATGAAGATAAACAAATGATGACATATTTTTAAACATATCAACTGTGAACAATTTAAATTTTGTCTATTATAAAGAATAAATGAATAACATCACTATGGGTTTCTTTTGGAGATTATAGTAATTTAACAGTTGAATTTAAGAGTGAATCTAAGGTAGGTCACCAGTGAAAACCTGGAAGCCCTGAACGGCTGTTTCGTTCTAGTATGTGACTCAGCAGTGCGCATTCATGGCCGTACAGTGCTTCCAGGTTTTCAATAATGGTCTAACTTCGGTTGACTCGTGAATTCAATTATTAAAATGATTAACGGCTGCAAAATCTTTTTCATCCAATGTTACTACAAATCAGGAGTTGCTAGGTGAGATTGATAGACAGACATAAAAGGAACATTTTTTCGCAATACTTTATCATCATTTTATACTCTTTTGTAGAAAGTTCTTCACCGTGACCGAACATGCAAATATTGAGTAAAGTGAGTAATAATATTGTTATAACCTTTTTACATATCAAACTTGTCATTAAAGATTTTCGGGAATAACAGGCTAAACAGTTAAGCCGCTTAGTTAAAACAATCTACCAAACTATAAAAATCTTACTTCTAAGTTATCCATTTTCCTCTCTCTCTCTCTCTCTCTCTCTCTCTATATATATATATATATATATATATATATATATATATATATATATATATATATATATATATATATATATCAATAGACATTCAACATCAATGCTGGCCTCGTTAGTTTTCAATAACTTAACTGTCATAAACCTCACGGTCAGACATCCACGTCATTTCTTATCACTCAGTCGCTCGTATGAAACACTCTACCTAACCGTTCAGTAGCTGATTAAGCAATCCCATCTGTCTTTTCATAAGTAAAAATAATCAACCCCCTAAGTACTTGTATTATACTCTATTTCAATTTTCTATTGAGTTTATACGCGTTACCTGGGTGCATCAGTTTAAATAGTTTGATAACAGTGTCGTCATATTCTGTCATATCAAGTATCTTCACAAAATTAGATGGTGAGTTGGATATAGGTATATAATTTTCCTTAAAAAAAAATGCAAAGGTCAATTCTCAACATTTAATTATGATTGTGAAGTGGAACAACTAACCAATAAAATACGATCGAATAAACAAACAGCGCTAACACATACTGTCAATAGTCATATAATCACTGAAGACTTAAAAGCTTTAGATAGTAACGTGACTGCCTTCCGCCTCATCAGTGTACATCCAGCGATCCATGGTTTTCTCAAATACAACAATGCTGCGTAATCACAAGTTTCAAATGGATTTACTAATGTTCTAGGGAGAAGTCATAACCAATGAAGTCAAACAATTCAGTTTGTCATCCAATTAATATAATCGGTGTTCAGTTAACACATGATTAGTTTCAATGAAAAATCGTTATGACATTACAATTATTTAATTACACGATAAATTGTAAACAATACTGATGTAAGCCAGACAATATGTAGATATAGATCATTTCTATTATAAATGATAATTACAGATTTGTGATGTTTAAATAAATCAATGACTTCTTAGTATTGATGACTGTTGTAATTTTGAATTCCAAATACAATACATTCGTTCGGGCTCATCTGATACTTCTTGATTAAATTGCGTTATTCCTGGGATTACTAGTTTATACTACAATTCAAATACTTCTAATTATCATATTGGCGTCGCGACTGAGCCTGTGATGGAACGGTTAAATATAAATTCAGATTTTAATGCTTTTGAGGAGTACATGGAAAGGTTCGAAATCTGGGCTATGACCAAGGGAGATGATGAGGATTTTAATATTGTGGCCCATTTTCTTACATTCATCGGGAAAGAAGCATACAGCCTTATAAAGATTTTGGCACTTTCAGACAAACCGATTTCACTCCCCTATGCAACTCTCAAGCAACTGCTGTTGGATCATGTAAAGTATACAAATTCCGAATGCGGTAAGAAAGGAAAATCCGATAAAATGACTCGTCAGAACATCAGAAATTCCACTTATTCAAACAGTCGTCGTAGTTCGATGCGTAATGAAAGTTATTTAGACAATACTTCATTGAGTTGTGAAACAGTCCATGATGATGAGCACGAGTTTAGTAAATGCATGTTCTGCGGCAAGTTTCACCCCTGTAATTCATGTATATTTCGTAATTCTAAATGCTTTAAATGTGGTATAACTGGACATATTCAGTCAGTTTGTAATACCATGGTTCATTCCGCTGAAAGTAATGCTAAGATGGATGCTTCTAATGATCAGTTATCTTTATTTAGAAGTGGTATAACGTCACATAGCAGTCCAGAGTTAACTGAAACTCAGAATCATTGTGAGACAAAAAATTTTAACCAACAAACTTATCGGATTTCTCACGATATTGAACCAGATATGGTTTGTCGTAATAATTCACATACTTCTGATGGAATTTCTTACAACTCTGAGAATAGAATGTTAAATGAGTCAAATCATGATCAAAAACCAGATTCAGTCTTGGAAAATATTTCAGAGAAATCAAATTCTGATATCATATCAAGTGTCAGTGGTCCTCACAATGAATTTATCTCTAATGATATTCCTCATGAATGTGACAAATATGTTTCTTATGAGTTGAATTCTAGTCATATTTCTGATGTTATTGTGTCATATGTTGGATACTCTCACGAACAATGCATGTTGAATAGAATCCCTAGTCAGGGGTATAATGAATCAGAGGGGATAGCAAAGTTTACCGAAATAATCAGAGAACCAGCTTGCCCAGAAGTGAAGCTTGCACAGACAGAGAATTCAAATCAAATCCAAGATTATCCTAATGAATATGAGGCAGATGAATGTTTTCTATTCGATTGTTTCGCAGGTAAATCAAGCCTAGTTGAATCACATGTGTTAATTACATATATCAATGCATATCCATCTGTGTATTCTAATATGAATAACAAAAAGTATATGTATCATGATTTTTATTCAAGTCAAAGTCACATGATGGAATACCTCGAATTATATATCAGTGTTTATTCCCAAATACTCACATACAGTAGGCGATGCGTGAGATTTGAGAAGATACTGCAAATTGGAAATGTCATATTGGCTAAAACATTGCGACATAAGGACCCAACATTATTTCGTGGGGGAGGATATTGTTGGAAAGTATATGATGCAAATTCTAAATATCAATGGTTTCACTACACAACCGACATGCTGATTGTATACAATTCTAGAACCCAGGTGAGTCTGTTCCAATTTCCGTTGTTAATTCTAATACTAATGAGTGCATTCTAGATAATACAGAGTGTACATTCAATAAACCATCGGACAGATACACCTACACTTCAATTTGAGCTGTGGCGGATGTGATGTTTAAATAAATCAATGACTTCTTAGTATTGATGACTGTTGTAATTTTGAATTCCAAATACAATACATTCGTTCGGGCTCATCTGATACTTCTTGATTAAATTGCGTTATTCGTGGGATTACTAGTTTATACTACAATTCAAATACTTCTAATTATCATAAGATTACAATTTGTCTAATCAACCTCTCATTAAACGAATTGACTATTGATGAAAATGTTAATTAGCATTGGATTTTTTTGTTAAGAAACAGAACAACAAAGACTCAACTGTCAACTTTAATATCAGTAGATATCGCGATTTTCTACAGACACACATATATACACGGAACAGCAACAACGAAAAAAACAGATCATCATATGATCAGCATGTAACTGAACAAATAGAGACGATTTTTCTTCATTTCTACTACAAAATAAATTCCATTCTATTTCAAAACTGACGTGAATGAATAAGTATCGTTTTTTCTCTTTGTTTGAGGCGTAAAATTTCTAGGCATTTCGTCCTAGCATGGGACTCCTCAGCAGTGAGCATCCATGGACGCCCAGTGCTTCCAGGTGTTCAGCGGTGGTCTAACATTCACCGATTCATGATCTCAATCATAAATTTAAAAATCTCCACAACCTCAAACTGATAATTAATTATTTTTTACAAACAGTAAAAATGGACTGATATGATAATTCGTAATACTGAAATTTGTTAACTAGACAATGTAATAATGCAAAGGTATGTGTCTTATAATCAAGGTGAAAATGATTATATATATGGGCCATTCAGTGATAGCATCCCAAACTATAAAAGTTAGCAACGTGAATTCTACGTGCAATATCAATTCTCTCAAGATTGCAGCTACACTGTCGTGATGAGTGACAACAATCACGAAACGTAGGTGTAACGTTTTTCTTACCAATAACCTTCAACCAACTAACATCTGAAAATAGTAAACGTGGAGTTAAGTCAACTAAACTAGTGACCATATATCGATAGAATTCGACCAGCATTAAAAGATTAGAAAAACATGAATAACTAAGTGTATGCTTACTGCTGTCATCAATTTTTGTAAATATTCTTTAATAGTCACAAAAATAGTTTCCATCACACTTGTGGTAATCATTTCGAAAACTTGGAAAATCAGATAGAATTGGATACAATGTATTTAATTGAACTGTTGAATAGGTTGTTATTAGAGCAGCCATAAACTCATTGCAGAAATAAACCCAAAAGTTACATAGATCCCAGGTGAGTAGTATTCCACTGAATCAGTGTGCTTGGGAATCAAATGCTATCCATTTTCAACTTTAATCGATTCATAAGACTATCATCACTAATTGTCAGTGATTACAATTTTTTGTATTTTCCGACATGGTTAAAGCACCAATAACCATCTAGTGCTCAGAATACTGGCTTTCATAATTGTCTAGTTGATTTTTGGTTCATCATGACAAACAAACTACTCAAATTGGGAAAAATCTTCACACAACATCGCCTATCTAAACTTCCTATCATTATTATTTACTATTTCCTTGAAGTTACACAAAAAACCTACTACATGTGACAGTAGCGGGGTAATTCGAATACTGTGATGTGTTAGCATAGAAAAAACAAACATTCAGTAGTAAGAACGACAAATTACTATTGAATACTAGGACGATAATCGATATGTTATGTACAAAGATGAAATAATAAAAAAATACACAAGATCCTTCAAATGAACAATTATGTTCTAAGAAAGTAATGGGGACTCCAGTCAAAAAAATAGGAAACAGATGGACGTTTTTGTATAAATAGAAAAACAACTATAATCAATGGTTACACTTACCCAAAATAGCATCATTTACAGCATCAGCTAATAATTCTCGGTATTTTGGATGTAGCAAACCACTAAGTGGACTTTTGTATGGATTTTGATATGCAACTAGACTGAATGCATCCTATTAGAAATTGAATGGGAAGGAGAACAAAAAAACAGAAATGATTTTCCTGATGAAGAATATATGAAGGCAATGTTGTAATGACAAAAATGTATAATGTGGCAGTTTAACGACTACATTTTACTCGACTGAGATAAGAGAGGAAAATCCTTCTATACTTTAGATGAAAGGATTTTGTGTAGATCATTATGATCTATAGAAGAAACTAGTTCCTTCTACCTAAAGTTTGTGCTGATGATGAAAGCTCTACGACCAAACCATCCAGCTCAGAGAACAAAACTCCACCAGAAACTAGTTACGGATTGATTTTGCTTGGTGATACTATTGAGAACAAGGAGTAACTGGATGGTGATTTTAATAGTTAAGTGTCCATCATGAGATCTAGAGGTCTTGGATTTGGTCATTTGAATCAGATTTTTATTGATACTGTTACAAATTTAGAATATACCTACTAGAGAGTTTATTCACATTGTGCAACCGATCGATGAACTTAAATCACTGTATATATTCAGCGTAACTTTACGATTAGTTAAAAAAGAAAACTTGTTTATAATTTAATCATTATTCATCGAAGTCCGACATTGATATGCAGAAATATTCCGAAGACATTGGGATGTTAAGAAATTGCTGACACCGAAACTTGCTTTTTTGTATTTGGTCTAATCAGAGGAATTTACTGATTATTATCGCATTGACTTATTCGAGCATTTCAGTGTTTATTTTTTTAAAAGGATTATGGTGAGTGCTACTGGTATCGACAGATATAAGTAGTACGCATCATCAATCGAAAATGAAATGTCTGGAGGCAGAAGGTTAAGAAGATCGAAGAAAAGAGAACGAGAATAGAGAATGATTGCTGTGGAAATGAAGGAACAGTGAAGTCTCAGAAGATCGATAGACATTTTGCAAATGAAGTATTTATTGCATGGTTCTCAGATTTTATTAAGATATTCTGTAATGTTGTATTAAAATACATTTGATTGTCCCCACTTGTGTTCTCCTTCACTACAGGAGTACACTAAAGCACACTTCAAACATCATGAAAACTGATACAAACTTTTATCAATAAAGAGAATTCAAGATAATTGTCAGTTCAGTTCATAGATTACACAATATATTTTCACAATTATTGCGTTTAATGACACAAACATAACATGGAGATATTCAATGAGATGAACTATGAATATTAAATTATATGTCCTACTCACTGCCTTTTTGCGGCTAGAGTGTTGTCTACGAAATCGAGAAGATGGAAAGCGAATGTCAGGCGTTTAAACTAGGTTAGTGTATAAGAAGGATCCAATGAGGGGAATTGGAAGAGCCTGATTCCAAACCGATGGTATGCATAGTATCAAGGATACTGAGGGAACAAATGGAGTGTGAATCTATTATTGGTCACCGGCTACCATGGGACTGAATCTCCTAACGTTGCTCCATCGCCTTGTGGATTAGAGCTGTAGGTCAAATGCTCGAAGGGTGGCCTCCTTATCATTACTATTATTGGTTAGAAGTCGGGATAATTTTCCCAAAGTCGTTCCAGCAGTGGCTGCAGACCATTAGCATGGTATAATTTTATGATTTATGCTTCCAATTATTTATTTATTGGTACAAAAGAGCACCGAATACATATGCGCAACACAAATGACTTGTTTTGTGTGTGGGGTGTAATACTGCCCGGGTGTCCAGACCAAAGCTTCGAAAATTATCAGTATTTTGAATTTCAGCAGAAATACAAAGGATATATCTGTAGATTTCGTTCAAGTCTAATCGATACATATATTCATTAATGGAAATCCAGCGATGGCGACGACCAAGTTTAGGTCTGAATAGCTCAATGTTGACATATGTGACACTGAATGACGAAAGTTTGAATTTAACGCAGAGAAAATCATTTACCTTGGGACTACTGCACATACATACAATATCCTCAGAACGTCAACTGGCACGAAACATAATCTTATAGATTCCTCTCAGTTGCCTTCAACCATTATTCTCTGATAAATTCTCAATATAAACACAATTAATCTTCAACATTGTTTTACCACATACTATAAAAAGCCTATTAATTTTGAGGGTAGAGATGAAAGAATTTGATTATAAGAACAGCAACCCCGGGATGCAAAGTACCTGGTTAGAACATGCGCGATAACAGACATTAATGGTCGAATATGTTGGATAACACGACTTACAAACAACCAAAATGACATAGATATGTTCACTCTTTAGTGACGTCCCAGTATTCGTTCATACATACTTATTTATTCTGTCTTATCGAACCATATCCTAGGTATTTACTAATTTTAACCGTCATTACAGCTATACTGTGTCGAAGTTTTTTGTAATTCCTTTTGTTACTTTTACCGTATCATACATATTTGCTATGGCAACTTTGGCTAGCACATAGTTATCAGGTTGAGTATAATGAGTGATTACCAAAATAACAAACTTATGTCAGCAAAAACAAAATAATTTAACGTTTATACATTTAGATAGATTTATGGGTGTTGATATTCAACAAGTAGAAATATAAATTCTACAAAGAAAATGATCAGAAAATAAATTCTTTTCATCAGTAAAGGGTCGTGGAGATTATCGAATTTCATTAAAAACACGAAACGATCTAAGTTAGAAAAACATTGAAAACGTGAGAGCACTGAACGGTTGTTTAGTTTTAGTATGGGATTACTCAGTAGTGCGCATCCATGACTCCGCACACGGGAATCTAACCCACGACCTTCGGTCTCGCGCGAACGCTTAACCTCTAGGCCACTGAATCGGGGTTCAACAGTGTTTACGTCTAACTTCATCATCTTCCATTATCTTTGATGGATAAATGCCGACACGGTTGAACTCTACTGATCATGGTTTATCACTAAAGCTCCGGAAATTTCCTCTTGAAGCTAATCACTAGTAAGAATATGATAGTTGTCAGTAATACAATACATTCAGAAGAAAAAAAATGAACTTACACTCAAAAGTAACCATTGTTCCAAACTGATCACTCCTTGACGTTGTAATTCTAGTGCACTTGATCGTAAATTACGTCCATATTCAATTAAATTACGTAGTTCATTATTCAATATCTGATCCACACTTTTAACATCATCATCACTATTATTATTATCATCGAAATAATTGTGATGATGATGAT